GGTTGAAGCTTACCGGAAGGGAGATGACGAGGGCTTTTGGTTTGGGCGCAGACTGGACAGGAGAGTACGTAATCCCTGACGTCGGATGTCAGTGAAGACCACCAGAACTTACGGGCTAGAAGTTCGGTGGTTCGTGTAATGCCCGGATGTCCTGACCCCAAGGACGTGTGACACCATTGCATCAGTTGGGGTCTAACAGCAGCTGGTACGTAACTCTTCCCAGCTGGTGTCTCAGGAGGAGCCGGGTCTGAGGTTAGGGCTTCCTGTATGGCAGAGAACCTCCCACTGTACCAGTCCCATAATGCAAGAGGAAGGAAGAATGGGTGTAGGGTCTGAGTTACTGGTCGGAAGGTCAAACTGGCGGGAGAGAGCATCAGCTTTTACTTTTTCTTTTCAGGGATGTAAGTAACATGAAAATGGAAGCGTGTGAAGAAGAGAGCCCAGCGGTCTGGAGTTTAACCTCTTGGCCCCTCTGATATATTCCAGATTACGATGATCTGTCAGGACGAGAAAGGGATGTTGTGCGCCCTCCAACCAGTGGCGCCACTCCTCGAGGGCCAGCTTGATGGCGAGGAGTTCTCTGTTCCCCACATTGTAATTCCTCTCAACGGGGGATAATTTCCTGGAGAAGAAGGCACAAGGATGTGATTTTGGAGGTGTTGCCACCCGCTGAGAGAGTATGGCTCCTACTCCTACTTCGGATGCATCCACCTCCAGGGTGAAAGGAAGGGTCGTATCAGGTTGGCGAAGGACAGGAGCTGAGGTGAAGAGGCGTTTCAAGGTGTTGAAAGCAGTCAGTGCGGTATCAGTCCATTGAAGGGTCCGGGTCTTTTGGCTGGTAAGGGCAGTGAGGGGAGCGGCAGTAGAACTGAAGTTCCGAATGAACCGGCAATAGAAGTTGGAGAACCCAATGAAACGTTGGAGTTCCTTAACGGTGGTGGGTTTGGGCCAGTTACTGACGGCGGTGACTTTGTTCTCATCCATGCTGACCCCTCCAGGTGTCAGTACGAAACCGAGGAAGTTTACCAAGGTGACATGGAAGGTGCTCTTTTCAGTCTTCACATAACGGTTAGGAAGTTTAAAGGTTATGGTCATGGAGCCATTGTACATGCTGTATGTGATCCTTCAGGGAGTAAATCAGGATGTCACCAATGTAGACGATGAGAAAGCGGTTGATCACATCCTGGAAAACCTCTGGAAAACCTCGTTCATAAAGGATTAGAAGACGGCGGGGGCGTTAGTAAGGCCGTAGGGCATGACCAGGTATTCATAGTTCCCTCGTGCGGTGATAAAGGCCGTCTTCCATTCGTCGCCTTCACGTATATGGACAAGGTTATAAGCACTCCGCAGGTCGAGTTTTGTATAGATGTTGGCGCGGCCCACTTGTTCAAGGGTCGTTGGGATCAGAGGAAGAGGGAAACGGTTCTTGACCGTGACGTCATTCAGGGAACGGTAATCAATACATGGACGAAGACCACCGTCCTTTTTTTCCAATGAAGAAGAAGCTGGACGCAGCCGGGGAAGAAGGACGAACGAAACGGTTTGAGTGCATCAATGTAGTTCTCCATTGCCTCATTTTCCGGATAGATAGGGGGAAAAGACGGCCCTTCGGTGGGGACACTCCAGGGGCTAAGTCAATAGCACAGTCCCCTGGGCGATGTGGTGGCAGAGTGGAGGCCTTGATTTTGCTGAAGACGTTGCTGTGCTGGGCGTATTCAGATGGTATAGTGCAGGGTTCTTCAATTCCGGTCCTGGAGGGCCGAAATACTTCTGTTTTTTATTTCTACCTGGTAGTTAATTGCACTCACCTGGTGTATCTTAGCCCCTAATTAGAAGGAGAGGATGAAAAACAGAGGTGTTTCGGCCCTCCAGGACCGGAATTGAAGAACCCTGGTATAGTGGGTGGCACTGCAGAGGCAGAGTCCTCAATGGTGGTGGCTCTGCAGGTTAGGCTGAGACAACTGGTGAAGCGGGTAGAAGACCAGGACAGTAGTTCACCTTGTCGCCACCAGATGGCAGGGTCGTGACGACAAAGCCAGGGGTGTCCGAGGCTGAGTGGCTGTTTGGGGGATGAGAATTCCATGAGTTTAATGGTTTTGGTGTGGAAGACTCCAATCTGGAGGGTAACGCTCAGTGTCAGGAGCGTAATGAAGCCCGTGCCCAATGGCTGCCCGTCCAGGGTGTTAATCCTTAAGGGAGGGGTGACAGGTGTAAGATCAATGTCAAGCTCTTGTACTAGCTGGTGATCGATCAAATTACCTGCTGCTCCTGAATCTAACAAGCCCTGTACTTACTTAGTAACCCTGAAAGACAGGGCTACGTTCAAGAACACAAAGAAACAGGGCTACGTTCAAGAACACAATGTGAACACAATATGGTGACAACGATGTAGGCTGTGTTTAGCGGTTATGACATGGTTTGGCTTGGAAAGGTTTTTTCACCTGGTCACATACAGCTGATGTGTTGTTCATTGAAGTCCACAAGCGAAGGGGAAAAGGTGATAGGAGGAGAGCATGTAGATGCCAGAAGGAATACAACGAGCTGTTTATGTGGCTATAAAAGTGAACTGTTTGCGTGTGATCAGGGGTGTATTCATTCTTCTGATTCTGTTGAAAAATGTTTCTTAAACGTAAGCAAACGGAATAAAACGGGGATAAACATACCTGAATTTGTCCAATAGAAACTCTGGACTAATGATTACATCCTAGATCAGCTAGATGCAGGCAAGAGTGTGCACGGTGGCATTGAATGTGTCACTGTCTGTCCATGTGTCACTGTCTGTCACCTCTAATTTGTCTCTTGACCTGTTTGCACCTACGTTGTAAACTTCCATTCATAGGCTAGGTATTAGCAACCTCATGGTCGGTATAGGGGAAATTTGAGTATCATCGATCTTACATTGAACTGGGTGAATGGAATATGAATGACAGTCATCCAATATGCTGTAATAGAAATAAGGCCATGCTCAAAAAAAGACTTGCCCTCCCTCATCTTAAACGGCACCAACCGCCACTGATTTCTATCTGTTTATTTTCTATACACCTCAGTGTGAAGCCATTGCCATCTTTCTTAACAAAAACATACAAAAAGGAAACATGTTCTTTGTCTGATACGAACGTACATTTAATGGATGGCATCCTGGAATTCATGTATATAAAGAATTCCTGCAATTCAAGATCATCACCTGACCAAATGAAATAGAATGCATCAATATATCTGATAAACTATTCCTCATCAAGAGGGTTTGGATGCGATTAAACATTATTTGAATCAAATAACAGAAATGGATCCCCCATGTCTAATGAAATATTGACAAATAATTATTTTAAGTTTGAAGACTGTTATTATCTTTAGGTTCAAGGAATTACTATGGGATCGCCATTAGCGCCTAATTATACTAATTTGGGGAAATTTGATTTGGACTTTGTATACGTGTTTATGAGATATATATATACTATTTTTTTTCATTTGGTCAGGGTATTATCTTCAATTGCAGGAATGTTTATGATTTGTTTGCATTTCTCACAGGTTTTAAAACCTGTATCAACTTTAGGAGGGGCCCACTTGTCTTACCTACATAGGGCACTACTTTTGACCAGGGTGCTATTCAGACTTGTTCTTCTTTGCCTGAACTTGAACATCTTGTTCATAATACCTTATGTAGACTGAGTTGTGTTTGCTAAGAAGAACATTAGACTATCTGAGGAATTAAGTCTCACTTTAACATGTGTTTACATGTGTGAACCTAAAGGACTAAACATGTTGTTTTTCACAGACGGTACTAGTTGACTGTACTGACAACAACTGAATGGACAAAAAAATGAATAAGAACTAATAAGAGTTATATGAAATACCAATTAATAATACAATTATGCCTATTATAACCATGCTTCGAAAAATTTACAATCTAGAGCTTTTCCACAGAGATAACGCAACACTGATATTCTGGTCATGGTTATGAAGTCCACATGTGGCACAAACGTTGTGATAAAATCAAAATCTGAGAGTGATATAAAATGATCTTTGATTTCAGATCCAGACACAAACATCAGGAATGAAATGTTATGTTCTCGCGATACACCAGGCTCGTTCTCTGATTGGGCCAGAACAGCAGTGGGTCCGGGACTTGGCCTTCTGGGAAATAAACAGAGCAGTGGATCGATAGCATTTAGCGGCTATCAGCAGTTACTGTAGTGGGTGAAGCAAGAAATAAGACGTAGTTGTCTTAAAAAACAAGCTGGCTGTCAGACTGACGTCGGTGCACCGGTTGTCACTTTGCCCCGGGAAGAGGAAAAATAAGTGCATGTTTTTCGGCGAATCGCGCGTTGGATTGGATGTACAGGACTTTGGACCAGCTAGCCAAGTGGAGTCAGTCTCAGTGGAGTAGCAACCCGCTGCAACGTTTTGCTAAAATCGGACCGAGGAGTTGCAAAAGTTGGAGTCTTGCACGGATTTATCTTTGGACCGTTTTGTATCTATACGAATAGTAAGCTTCATCTGACGTTTTTAGCAATACCGTGCCTTTCTGGTCAGTTTGCTGCCTTTCCATCGACCGATGCTTTTCAACTCAGTGATTTTGGGATGACAACTGGTGTGAGTAAATTATGGCGTTTGCCTCCGACTCGAGGCGACGTGAAAACGTTATTCATAGGTCATTGAACTGCCATGTCTCCCAATTGGTGTACACAAGATAACATTCACACTGGACGATAATTATTATAATGGCAACACAGATTGGAAGAATTTCTTTTTGAAGTCTATGTAAACAGTTGTCCTCTGTACTGATAAAGTGATGGGTCCGAAGCACAGAAGCCACCGATAACCTCTGTGTCAGTACGTGTGACCCTAATTATATTTCTCAGTAGTCATTCTATTTAGGTTCCAGCCTCGTCGTTTTTACAATGGAAACGGTCGTATTCAAGTTACAACGCTCAATGTCAATCTGAGAACCACCATCAGAGCGACCGGCTGTCTTCCCGAGACTCCGTTGTAGGACAACCATGTGGGGCGCAGGGGCGCCACCATCCCTGCAGGTCATCGTGAAGGTCCTGAAACACGCCGCGGTCAAAGGACAGATCCAGCTGAACCGCTGGCTCCAGAGATCCTCCCTGGACGAGGGCGATAAAGCAGACATCTTGATATGCAACGCCTTTGAGGAGAGAGGAGGCGCCATCGACGAAGACCCGGAGAGCATCGTTGACACTAGAGTGTCATTCACCGGTGGCGCCACCAACGAGGAGTTCAGACACCAGTGTTGTATTACAACGTGCTGCTTCAAGAGCACCCTCCTGGCATGCATTATGACAGCTGTCTGCTTCTCCTCCGTGGCTCTAGTCAGACAGCACCTCAAGGACCTTCTGCTCTGGGTGGAGAGCTTGGACAGCCTGGTTGGAGCCATGCTGTTCATAGTTGGTCTGATCATTGTGTCCTTCCCGTTCGGCTGGGGTTACATGGTGCTGAACGTGGCTGCGGGGTACCTCTATGGCTTTGTGCTGGGTATGGGACTGGTGATGGTCGGGGTGCTCATTGGGACCTTCGTGGCTCACCTGGTGTGTAAGAGACTGTTGACGGACTGGGTGGTCAACAAGGTGGGGAACTCTGAGCAGCTCAGTGCTGTGATTCGGGTGGTGGAGGGGGGGAGTGGACTCAAGGTGGTGGCCTTAGCGAGACTCACGCCCATACCGTTTGGACTCCAGAATGCAGTGTTTTCAGTGAGTTGAAAATCTTCCTTATTTCTTGCAAGTAAAGTTGCTGATGGTGTCATTGGTTCTTTCCCCATCGTCTGTGCAGGTGCAACGGGGACCAAAATGTGTCCATCCTTAACGGCCCCCTATTCCCATAGTGCACTATAAAGGGACGAGGGGGCCGTTTGGGACAGGACACAGCATCTGCAAGGGTGGTCAACCTTGTTCCTGGAGAGCCTAGTGGATGTGCAGGCCTTTGTTCCAGCCCTGCTCCAACATATCTGAATGATTCAGCTAATGTAGCCTAGGTCCTGATGAGTAGCTGATTTGCAGTATCAGGTGTGTTCGAGCAGGGCTGGAACACAAGCCTGCACACCTAGGAGAACAAGGCATATATCTCCAAAAGCAGGGTTGTCCACTCCTGGGCAAGAGGGTAAAAACTTGACTCTGGCAAATATAGACCTACAATTATGTTTGAGCAAGTTATTGGCCTATAAGCTATACTTCAGTTTGTTAAGCAAGTGCCATTTGAAACACGTCTGTCTGTCTGTCTGTCTGTCTGTCTGTCTGTCTGTCTGTCTGTCTGTCTGTCCGTCCAAGGACATGATATTGCTGCCACTGCAGTCTTTTCGGTAACCGGACGCACTTGACCTCCAATCATTGTTTGAATTATTTATGAGCCTTGATTACTCACCTCAATCAACTGCACCTTTCATTCTCTTCCTAGTAATCTAAATGAATCTGAAGGAATGGAGTAGGCTGTTGTGCATCTGCAATTCGCTAGCATGGTCCCAGATCTGTTTGTGCTATATTGTCAATTCCTTGTCAGTCATACCTAACATGTAAATGTCATGCATGACAAGGAGTGGCATGATGGCACAAACATGCTCGTACCCACCCAGGCTAGCAATTAGACTGTACGAAGCATGGCAAAAAGAAACATGGCATTTCAAATCAAATGTTATTTGTCACCTGCTTGGTAAACAACCGGTGTAGACTAACAGTGAAATGCTGACTGACAACAATGCAGAGAGAAATAAGGAGACCGTGGCTATATAGATGGGTTAGCTGACAACGTCATGAAAATGATGTGTGCACTTCCATGGGGCAGAAGTCAGCTGGTGTGATTCTGGACGGCCAGATTGCTAGCAAGAATGACAAGAAACTGCCATGTGGGGAAACGTAAGTGACTCATTTCAGCTCGTTTCATCTTGTTCTTGATACCATGTCTTGTTTTGATTGATTTCATGTCTATGCTAATATGGCAAAACATTTGCTAGCTAGCTAAGCAACAACCGTAACGATGTATTTGAGAGACAAGTGCTCATCGTGCAACTGTATTTATGTTTTCAATAAACATTGGAGATGAAATATAGCTTACATGTTGTCAACAATCTAAGCCAATCTAACCCCATCTGATTTGCCCCAAAGTTATTCACACGTCGGTTTTGTTGCTAAACAACCAACCCATCTATACGTGAATGTGAATTGGAAGTGGGTCCAGGGTGTCTGGGATGATTGTGTTGATGTGAGCCATGACCAGCCTTGCAAAGCATTTCATGGCTACAGATGTGAGTGCTACGGGGCGATAGTCATTTACCTTGGCATTCATGGGTCTTGTGAATGTTAACCTGTTTAAAGTTCTTACTCACATTGGCTACAGAGAGCAAGATCACAGTCATCAAGAACAGCTGGTGCTCTCATGCATGGTTCAGTGTTGCTTGCCTCAAAGCGAACATAGAAGGAATTTAGCACATCTGGTAGGCCCACGTCACTGGGCAGCTCTTGGCTGGGTTTCCCTTTGTAATCCGTGATAGTTTGCCGCATCTGACGAGCATCAGAGCCAGTGTAGTAGGATTTGATCTTAGTACCGTATTGACGTTTTGACTGTTGGATGGCTCGGCGGAGGTCATAAAGGGATTTCTTATAAGCGTCCGGATTAGTGTCCCGCTCCTTGAAAGCGGCAGCACTACCCTTTAGCTCAGTGCGGATGTTGCCTGTAATCCATGGCTTCTGGTTGGGATATGTACGTATGGTCACCGTGGGGACGACGTCATCGATGCACTTATTAATAAAGCCGGTGACTGATGTGGTAAACTCCTCAATGCCATCGGATGAATGTTGGAAAATATTCCAGTCTGTGCTAGAGAAACAGTCCTGTAGCTTAGCATCCGCTTCATCGGACCACTTCTGTATTCACTGGTACTTCCTGTTTGAGTTTTTGCATGTAAGCAGGAATCAGGAAGATAGAGTTGTGGTCAGATTTGCCAAAGGGAGGGCGAGGGAGAGCTTTGTATGCGAGTGGCGCAGTGGTCTAAGGCACTCCATCGCAGGGCTAGCTGTGCCACTAGAGATCCTGGTTCGAATCCAGGCTCTGTCGTAGCCGGCCGCGACCGGGAGACCCATGGGGCGGCGCACAATTGACCCAGCGTCGGCCAGGGTATGGGAGGTAATGGCCGGCAGGGATGTAGCTCAGTTGGTAGAGCATGGCGTTTGCAACGCCAGGGTTGTGGGTTCGATTCCCATGGGGGGCCAGTATGAAAAAAAGTAAAAATAAATAAACAAAATAATGTATGCATTCACTAACTGTAAGTCGCTCTGGATAAGAGCATCTGCTAAATGACTAAAATGTAAATGTTTCTGTGTGTAGAGTAAAGGTGATCTAGAGTAAAAATATATATATTTATTTTTTAAGGTGACATGCTGGTAAAAATGAGGTAAGACTGATATCAGTTTCCCTGCTTTCAATTCACCGGCCACAAGTGCGGCGCTTCTCGATGTGCATTTAATTTTTTGCTTATGGCTCTATACAGCTCGTTGAGTGCATTCCGGTCCTAGTGCCAGAATCGGTTTGTGGTGGTAAATGGACAGCTACGAAAAATATAGATAAACACTCTTGGTAAATAGTCTGCAGCTTATCGTGAGGTATTCTAACGCAGGTGAGCAAAACCTCAAGACAACCTTTCACGTACGTTTTATGTTGAAAGTCAACAGTGTTTAATATTTTTCATTAGAGTGATCAGGGACGTGCAACTATAGTGTTTCTTCACAGGAAATCCATTAGTGCTACACATTCATCAGAAAATAGCTTCATTTTGATCAGATGACAACAGAGTTCAAAGCTATTTGGCTAGCAGCCACAATGTAAATAAGCTTACAATGAAAAAGCTAAGTCTTTCTTACGCAGCAAGATATCTCTTAAGCGTTTTTCTTTTATGTGAAAAAACGGGGGACAAGCAGCAGCAGAGAGTGACCCCGTCAGAGCCAAGGACAAGCAGCAGCAGAGAGTGACCCCGTCAGAGCCAAGGACAAGCAGCAGCAGAGAGTGACCCCGTCAGAGCCAAGGACAAGCAGCAGCAGAGAGTGACCCCGTCAGAGCCAAGGACAAGCAGCAGCAGAGAGTGACCCCGTCAGAGCCAAGGACAAGCAGCAGCAGAGAGTGACCCCGTCAGAGCCAAGGACAAGCAGCAGCAGAGAGTGACCCCGTCAGAGCCAAGGACAAGCAGCAGCAGAGAGTGACCCCGTCAGAGCCAAGGACAAGCAGCAGCAGAGAGTGACCCCGTCAGAGCCAAGGACAAGCAGCAGCAGAGAGTGACCCCGTCAGAGCCAAGGACAAGCAGCAGCAGAGAGTGACCCCGTCAGAGCCAAGGACAAGCAGCAGCAGAGAGTGACCCCGTCAGAGCCAAGGACAAGCAGCAGCAGAGAGTGACCCCGCAGCAGCAGAGAGTGACCCCGTCAGAGCCAAGCAGGCAAAACTACAGCTCATTATGCTTTCAATGAATGATTCTCAAATGGCACTTTTGTTTATTGACAATATATCAATTAAAACCATCTGTAATGGTTATGATAAATTAGACATTGTTGCTGTTGGCATAAACACTGCATTCGAAAAGTATTTATTCCCCTTTACTTTTTCCAAATTGTGTTACGTTACAGCCTTATTCTAAAATTGAAATTTATTTATTTTTGAAATTTTTGCAAATGTATACAAAATAAAAAAACATACTGTATTTACATAAGTATTCAGACCCTTTGCTATGAGACTCAAAATTGAGCTCAGGTGCATCCTGTTTCCATTGATCATACTTGAGATGTTTCTACAACTTGATTGGAGTTCACCTGTGGTAAATTCAATTGATTGGACATTATTTGGAAAGGCACACACCTGTCTATATAAGGTCCCACAGTTTACAGTGCATGTCAGAGCAAAAACCAAGCCATGAGTTTGAAGGAATTGTCCGTAGAGCTCCAAGGAACAGATAGTGTCGAGGCACAGATCTGGGGAAGGGTACCAAAAAATGTCTGCAGCATTGAAGGTCCCCAAGAACACAGTGGCCTCCATCATTCTTAAATGGAAGAAGTTTGGAACCAGCAAGACTCTTCCTAGAGCTGGCCGCCCGCCCAAACTGAGCAATTGGGAGAGAAGGGCCTTGGTCAGGGAGGTGACCAAGAACCCGATGGTCACTCTGACAGAGCTATAGAGTTCCTCTGTGGAGATGGGAGAACCTTCCAGAAGGACAACCATCTCTGCAGCACTCCACCAATCAGGCCTTTATGGTAGAGTGGCCAGACGGAAGTCACTCCTCAGTAAAATGAACATGACAGCCCACTTGGAGTTTGCCAAAAGGCACCTAAAGACTCTCAGACCATGAGAAACAAGATTCTCTGGTCTGATGAAACCAAGATTGAACTCTTTGGCCTGAATGCCAAGCGTCACGTCTGGAGGAAACCTGGCACAATCTCTACGGTGAAGCCTGGTGGTGGCAGCATCATGCTGTGGGGATGTTTTTCAGCGGCAGGGACTGGGAGACTGGTCAGGATCGAGGGAAAGATGAACGGCGCAAAGTACAGAGATCCTTGATGAAAACCTGCTCCAGAGCGCTCAGGACCTCAGATAGGGCGAAGGTTCACCTTCCAACAGGACAACGACCCTAAGGACACAGCCAAGACAATGCAGGAGTGGCTTCGGAACAAGTCTCTGAATGTCCTTGAGTGGCCCAGCCAGAGCCCGGACTTGAACCCGATTGAACATCTCT